TTGCGACTATCAAATTTCTGAATACAATTTCTAATTGACAATTTTAGAATCTTAGAATGAAGGTTCAAGCAAACAAGGTAACAATCATTCTTCTCGATACCAATGATCTCCGTGAATTAGCTCATTCGATGAATGATCCAGATATATTTAAAGTAAAAGTTGGAGCTGCGGTGGCAAAAATTATTGCTGACAAATAAGTGCAAACATCACCTTATAATCTCCACATATAAATCAAAATTTCAAATAACTGTTTAATCTTTCGAGTGTTCAGCAGTAAATGTACCAAGTATGACTTGGTAATTTTACAAGTCCAATATGGTATCTACGATACCAGCTAATGTTCCCGAATGGTGCAAATTTATCGTTAAGATTTTCAATGAGAGATTAAAGATCTGGTTTAACCATGTCGATGTATGATCGTTAATTCTACATGTACATAACGATAATAAGCGTCATTCAAAGGCTTCGAGATCCGAGATCAAAAACTTTTTTTGTTTGAGGCTTTGTACTCTTAGCAGCATCAATACGAAAATCTAAATTCAATTACATCTATTATACATGTATACCATATTGATATGTTTTCTTCACTAATGTATGATTTAGATAAACTTAACGTTAAATAGCATGTTTTATAGCAATATATCAATATCGATATAATTTAAACCAAATGTTATCAAAATTTCGCATAAATCATTAACTATATCCATGTACATGTATTATCGTTATTATTTCATGTATAAACTGGATACTCAATCAATGGCTGGAACCGATAAACTCAACACCCGATAGCCTACAACCAACTACTTGACATCAAACGCTCATTTAACAACATCCAACTCACCCATGATTCCACACAGAATTCACCGCCGCTACAATACACTTTGAATTCGTGACTCATTCGCAACATATGTCACAGCAATACGTGAAATTCTGTGCCTCGAATGTAAGAAAAGACACAACGTCGACGTCATCGTTGTTGTCGTCAAAGTACACGAGACACCGCCGAATTCTAATATTATTGCTCAGGGACTGATGTTGTGCTGTTGAAATGAGTGTTCATGTTTTGTTGGAATTGAATAGGCATATTTTCTTTTTGAACGTCATTATAAATTACGTTTCTATAACGATAAATTCCGAATTAAGAAATTGGCATATTTAACATCGAGATCATTTACCATATTCTGTTGTGTACGTACAGTCGACTTTCGATATAACGACGTGCAGATTCTATTGAATTTATATTGTTTACAATAGGATCTGCACGTCGTTATATCGAAAGTCGACTGTATAAGCAACTTGTGACAAATAAATGTTTTCATAAATATGTGATACTTAATATAATAAAATACATGTTACATGTATAAATTAAAAAAAGTTACTAAAAGGGCAATGTCACAGGTTGCTTTTACACGATATTCTACTCGTCAAATTTTGGTTTGGCAATCTATATTTAATCTGACAAATTCTTAATAAACAATAAAACAAAAAATAAAGTTATATAGTAACTAACAAAATTATGAAATCACATTTGATTTATTAGTAAATAAATTTATTTTTAATATTAAAACAAATTATAAGTTATATTTTAATATATATTTTTTTGGATTTTTTAGATTTAATTTGACAAGTTACATTTTAATTATAAAATAATTTTGTAATAACATTGTAATTAGAATAACTTTGTCAAATTAAATTTAAAATAATCAGAAAAAATAAATGTTAAAATATAATTTATGATCTTTATTTTGATATAAAATTAAAATAACTAAATGTTTTGTACTATTTTTGTATTTAATTTAATAAAAATTTTAATATTGATTTATAACTGGCTTTTATTAGACTTAAAAAATTAAATTAGTATTAAGATTTTTATTATAGTTTTATTAATTAAATAATTTTAAATATATTTTAAATAATAATATTTAATCTAATATTAAAATTTTTATTAAATTAAAATTTCCAAAAGATTTTCTGAATTCTAAAATTTTTAGAAAAAGAATTCTATTTTTCACAATTTATATACTTTATATTTTTCTAAATTTAAAATAAAAAAAATTATAAATATTTAAATCTGAAAAATAAATATAATATTATATAAATAAATTTCAAATAAAAAATCATATAAATATTAACATCATTAGTTAGTTAATATAAAAATTTTAATATTATCTTGAATTAGTAATTTATATTTTTGACAAAAAATTTTTGCTATATTTACAAAAATACTTTGCTTTAAATAAATATATATTGAATAAATTAATAAATTAAATTTATTAATTTCGATTATTTCTTGAACTATTCAGTTTAGTGAACAAATTTTGCCCATTAAAATACTATAAATTTATATCTAAAATATATTTTTACAAAATACTAAATATTTAAAAAAGTTATTTAATACTAGCTTTAATTATATATTATATAATAATTATTTTACTTTTTTTTTAACAATTATAAAAAAATATAATTGTCTATTAAATTAAAAATAAGCAATTTTAAAAAATTTTTATTATTCGTCTTAAAATTTATAATAAAATTACAGAATTGCTTACAAAATAAATCAAATATTTTGAGCAATTGATACAAATTTAGATTATATTAATTAAAAATAGGTTATATTTTTATTTTAGGTTTAGAAGAGAAGTGATTAAGCTTATAAAAATTAGTTAAAAAAAATTTCAGCAAGCAAATTTGCCTGCTGAATGGTTTAAGTAATAATATAAATAATAATAATTTTTTATTATAAATTATATCGAAAAATATATTATAATCAAAATAATCTAACCAATACTAATTCTAATATAATAGAAATTATTATAAACTAATAAATAATTAAATTACTTTTTATTGCAAAAATATTTTATATTTAAATTCATATATTTTTGTATATTAAATTTTATAAAAAAAATCATTCAATTTTTTTATAAATTATTGTATAAGTAAAGAAATATCATCGAAATTCATATTAATATTATTCTAAATTTATTCAAAATCTAATATGTTAATTAGCTTAACTGATTTCATTCCTATTGTATATATAAAAAAGTAATATATAAAGTACGAAGTATTTCATTTCTAATTTCAAATAAGTATAAAATTTTTGTTAACATAAAATAACATATGTTTGCTAAACTAATTAATATTATATGAGTTATTTAGATAAAAATATCGATATATTGATTATTTAAGAATTCACATTGGAGTTCTATAATATCTCCATTTCAATTCAGAAAATAATACAACATGCATATATTTAACATGTATATGTTTTTCATGCAAGAAACTTTTTTATTTTATTTCTCAACCTTCATAATTATAAGAATAAAGGATATTTTCAAAAACAGCAGCTTCAACTTGATAATTCCATATAAACTTATTTGCGTCTTTAATGTACTCAGCTAAAATACCTGCTACTTTGTAAAAATATCTACTTGATATTTAATAATATGGTGATATTTTTGCTTTATCTTCATTAAAAATCAAAAGTATAAAAGGTTTGTTAGCTCAATTGTATCAAAAAAATTAGCATAATGATTATGGCTCAAGAAGTTTAATTAAACCAAGTACGCGATCGCGAAATCAAAAATGTACTTTGCACCACAGCAAAACTGACGTAAATTTGGCGACGTTTTAAAGATTAGATTTAGTGCATTTATTTATATATTTTTACTAATATAATATGATAAAATATAATAGATTTATCTTTAAAAGCTCAGTTGAACACTTTTCCCAAAGAACACCATACATCATCATCATTTCGAATTTTTACTATTCGCGTTTTAGGCGGAACTAACATATCTCCAACCAACAGCATACGACAAAATAAAGATCACCAACAAAATAAGGGATTCCAACGGCGCCATAGCTATACGAACTATTTTATTGCCACCCATCAATTCTGAGCCTAGCCAGATGACAGCCAAACCGAGGTAAAGCCAGAAGAGAATCAGACCTGGAATTGCGGTGCCGCGTCCAAAAGAGTTTATTACTAATGCGGCGAGCATCCCCAATAGGAGATCGCGTGCTACTTTGTGGGCTCGTTTTACTGAACGATCCTTTATAAAAATAAATTGATTAAATTCTTCTAGATTCTGTAAAAAACGGTTTTTTATATACTAACCGAAAAAGTGCCACTTCTTCTCGGATTTTCTGGTTCAACTGCAGGTGTGGTGTTGGTGGCGGCAGTGGCAGTGGTAGTAGTAGCGGCTTGTGTTGTTGGTTGAGGCGTATGTAAACGCATCATATTCATAATCCTAAAATCAAAAAGATATTTAAGCAAATAATCGAAATTAAAAAAATAATTAAACCACTAAAATAAAAATAATACCAAAGAAAAGCCCATAATATAAACATAATGAAGAATGCGATCCAACTGGCACGAACTGCACCTCTCGAAAAGAAAGTATCAAAAGCTTCAGGAGGATTATGTCGTGGGAAAAAACCATCGGGTCCATTTCCATTAGGCATCTGTTGAGATTTATGCACAGTTGGAATTACTTTAAGAGAGTTAATGACCGGTGAGATGTCAGCAGTTGGAACAATTGATGCTTTGACAATTGCAGATGTGGCAGCAATTTGATTTGCTTTAGTAGTGAAAATAGAACTCGTTACAGAAGAAACCTTTGGAGAAATTGCTGCCATTTTATTACGTTTTCATTGTTTGTTTATTTGTGTGTGAATAATGCTTTTATAAAAGCTTATTCGACAATATATTAAACATGCATCACTCTCCACTCTTAATTAACCGCCACCGACGTAATTATAAATCACTCAAGATAAATGCTTATGATACAGTACGTATTTGTGTTTTATTTATCATAATTACGTAATAATTTCTCGTCGTGAATCTATACTAATACTATTATTATTGATAAAAATTTTTTAGATATGAAAATCGTATCGGTAAATCAGTAGTTTCGATGCCGGTTGTGATTTTACCACGTGACGTATAGTACACCCGGAAAACGGACGTCGTTAGTCAACAGAAGAGTACTGGAACGACAAGACATATGATTGTGAGGGAAGCGAAACTTATATTCTATATTAAAAATCTACTGAGAACATGGTGAGTTTATCTTAATGTAATCGAGGCGCCCAATTGATCAAATCATTTTGGTCCGTATTTTGCAAATAAGCTCTCACTTTCAAAATTTGGTGTGTGAAATAATGCGACGAGATGCTATTTTTTGAGACGCAGAGTATATTTGGAATAAAAAATATCAAAGGTTTAAGCCAAAAAATTTGCAAGTATTTCGGGTACTAAGCATACAAAGTCATTTATGACTTACGTAAATCAAAATTTCTTCCTGTCCAAATCATAGTCATCAGAAATTTAAAATACTAGCAGAATTGCGATAAACTTTGAACCTGGCGACGAAAGGTGAAGAAAAAATATTCAGTTTAAAGAAATGCAAATATCTCCGCATGCAGTGGACCAAATTGAATGAAT